TGGCAATGGTGCTGATGGTGCTAACGGTTCTGCTGGCGTGGAGCAGCCGCCCAGAGAAGCTAGGTCTCTTGATAGTGGTGGACCTGCTGAGGGCGGTTCTGAAAGCACCACCACCAGTTTGGGCACTCCTCAAACAAGTACAAGTGCTCAGACAGACACCGACTCGGCAGTCTCTCCATCATCAGCACCGCATGCACCTTCTCCTCCTTCTTCTCCACCTCCTTCTTCACTTCATACTACTTCTTCTCCTCTTCCTCCTGCCCCTCCTCACCATCACCATCATCCCCACCACCACCACTTTACCATTCGACATCAGCTGTGCAGTGCGCAGTGTCAGAGTCCGCTGGCCGCCAGTCGCTTTCCATTTGGCGCAATGAATGCTGCTGCCAGCCAAAGGCTGCAGCCACAGCAGGAGCAGCTGCCCACTGACACCTTCCCGACACCGGTGCTTGAAGTGGACTAAAGTGTGCGGCGATGATGCCAGATGACAAACATTCCCTTCTCTTCTCTATCCGTTCAAATCTAAGTCGAATCTTTCAATCATTCAATTCATTTATCATCACCACCATCATCGTCTTTGTTAAATCTCCGGTTTCTGGTCGCTCCAAGGTGGTCCTCTTCTATTTTTCCAGTCTTTTGTTGATTATTTTCAAACTAAATGCCGTTCACCTGTTGTCTGTTGGCTTGTTTCTTTCTTTATATTATACCATCTATGTTATAATTAACTGGACTCGANTCATCGTCTTTGTTAAATCTCCGGTTTCTGGTCGCTCCAAGGTGGTCCTCTTCTATTTTTTTCCAGTCTTTTGTTGATTATTTTCAAACTAAATGCCGTTCACCTGTTGTCTGTTGGCCTGTTTCTTTCTTTATATTATACCATCTATGTTATAATTAACTGGACTCGAGGATTATTTCTTGGGTATCACTTCTTTTCCCTTTCCCACCACGCTCTCTCACTTTCTCTCATTGAACACCACTTGCTCTCTAGTAGGTCACAGATGAATATACTTTTGTGATATTTTTTATTTAATTTCTTTTTCATTTCTTCACCTCTCTCCTGCCGTGTGCAATACTTCTTCTTTTGTTGGTCCTTGTTGTTCCCTCTTCCGTTGTACAGATTTTTCCGAAGCTATTTTTCCACTGCACTGTACNCGTGTGCAATACTTCTTCTTTTGTTGGTTCTTGTTGTTCCCTCTTCCGTTGTACAGATTTTTCCGAAGCTATTTTTCCACTGCACTGTACAATATAACTGATAAAGTGTACTTACTGCTGTTGAATTAGACAAATGGCTGGCTTCGGCNCTTTTTCATTTCTTCACCTCTCTCCTGCCGTGTGCAATACTTCTTCTTTTGTTGGTCCTTGTTGTTCCCTCTTCCGTTGTACAGATTTTTCCGAAGCTATTTTTCCACTGCACTGTACAATATAAATGATAAAGTGTACTTACTGCTGTTGAATTAGACAAATGGCTGGCTTCGGCTTTCTAAGCTCTTGGCCAGCAGCTGCTGCTGTTCTTCGTGAGTGCTTTTCCGTCTATAAAAATAGCCTCATTTTGATGGTAAAAACTGTCTTTTTATGTTTTACTACACAAAAAGCTGACTGGTAGGTCGTACAGTACAACCTAGCGCTCGAACTCTAGTGACGGTGGCGGCAACTGGTGCTGCAGTTTTACGTGCGCAGTTTGCATGCAGCCCACAGCGTGCACCGTCTGTACCGAAATGTGAGGGAAAGTGGACAGAAGTCACGTCCGCCGTCAGCTGCTGTCTTCTGCTGGCTGAAGAATGGTGACCACTCTTCGGATTGAGAACCATCAACTTGACTACCGATTACTGCAGTGCATCCGCTTGCTCACCTCCTCGAGGTCAGTAGAAGAGAAGGTTCTGGTAGAGTCGACTAGAAGGAGCTACTGAAATTGACACCGCTTACAACCCGTGACACTGACTGGCGACGTGCAACTACGAACAACAGGCGACAACATCATCACCACCACCATAGTAAACAACAACAATAACAAAAACAACAATCCAACTACCACCACCATGATCCGGCCCGACACTGGCGTCCTTCGAGGGCAGGTCCTTGCCCTCTACAAGACCCGTAAGTTACCTGCCTTGTTCTTTAAACGTTCTAAAGTTGTTGTAACACGTTGTTGTCCCTTGTTGTCCTGCTGTCGTTAGTGCTGTACTACGGAAGAAACTACCCAATGGGCTACACTTACTTTCGCGACCGCTGCCACAAGTCCTTCATCAAGCACAAAGATGAGACGGACCCGCTTCAGATTGCGAAGCACCTCAGCCGGGGCGAGTTCATCATCAAGGAGCTGGAGGCGCTTTACCGGTTGAAGAAGTACCGCTATCTGAAGCAGCGGTACTACCCGGACGCGGAGGTGGAGCAGAAGGACGCTCGGGCGCTGATGAAGCAGATTGAACGTCAGAAGGAACTGTAAACCCTACCCATTAGTCACCATCAGCCTCATTGTCTCTCCCTCCCTTCTTCCCAGTTGTGCATCTCCAAGTGAGAGAGACTGTGTCTCTTGGTTGTCTCCTCCAGCCGAAGCTCTCTCTCTCTCCCTACATGTGATACCAAACCTATAGGCCTTCAAATTATGCAAACCCCCAATTTTTTTTCTACGATGAAAATTCCGCCATCTTGGATTTTCAGCTCAGGCAATCGCTCTCAATACATTTTTTTCTATGAATTTTATTAGAATTTACCGGACTTGATACCAATAAAAACGTATACTCGTACTTTATTCGTGTGCGTGGTAGATAGAAAGTAGAGGTATTATTAGTCGGCAAGAGTTTCTATAAAATAGAGATAAAAATTTTTTTGTTCGTACAGAAAAGGGTGGGAAAAGCAAAAGATAAAGTGTTGAGAAGGGAAAGAATTATTGTCAACGAAGTGCGGGTAATCACAATTGTAGGTTGGGTTGGGTTGGGTTGGTGTGTTGCCTCGTGAGGATAACCTGAGCAGATGAGGCAGGACAGCAGATGACTTGAAACTTTGAAGAGATCACAGGATCATCCTAATGCATGATTGGAGCGTCTGAGTTGATAGTGGCCTCAATGTAAAAGTGCTCGCGAGATTCTCGACCGCCGCTTGTGGTGGTTGTATCGTACACTTCAAATGATTCCAGCAGAACGACGCGCGGTGTCTGCATTGTGAAAGTCTGTAGAGAAATGTGGTCAAAATACGAGTCGCNATCACAGGATCATCCTAATGCATGATTGGAGCGTCTGAGTTGATAGTGGCCTCAATGTAAAAGTGCTCGCGAGATTCTCGACCGCCGCTTGTGGTGGTTGTATCGTACACTTCAAATGATTCCAGCAGAACGACGCGCGGTGTCTGCATTGTGAAAGTCTGTAGAGAAATGTGGTCAAAATACGAGTCGCTCTTGTAAAAATACTCGGGAAAATGCTTACTCTAAATTCTCTTGTGTAGCTGAGAATGAAAAAATCGAGGGCAAATGCTGCGATCCATCTGTAAACAAAAAGTGGTGATGAGTACATCAGTTAAAATCAGCATACATGTACTTACTCAGCAATGGAGCTGACAATGTGCGTCTGATAACCACCATCCTTTGGCTGCCAATTTGTAGGATCCTTTCCATGAAAGTGCCTGTGGTTTAAAACAAACACAGTCAAGTTGGTGCAAGTTGAAAGACGCTGAAACCGCGGTACCTTATACTGATCTGGCCCATCACGCAGGTGGTCAAAAAGTTGATGGTAATGATAATGGAAAGAAAGAGTCTCCACCTGGCCATGGCCAAACTGTTGACTAGAGGAACCATAGAGTAGGAGAGCCACGTTTGAAGAAAGCAGTAGACTGCGCCGAAACCAAAGGCCATCAGTGCACCAAGAAGGTGAATTTTGAACAGTTCAATCTCTCGAAAGTTGGCCACCACCGATAGTCCAAGTGCAGAGAAAAGTCCGAAAAAATTGGCAAAGCGATTTAGGCGAAAGATTTTCGCTGAAGCCGTAGTCAAGTCGTCGCGATAATACTGTTCCACCTGCTTGAAGCGAATGTAGACGACGATCGCCACTTCAAGATGTAATAGAAACGAATGAAACAAAAAATATAGTAACATTTTCTATAAAGACGATCCCACCTACCCAAAGCCGCCACCATGTTGAGCATCTGAGCGAAAAAGTTTGACTCTGGAACGTGTGTTCCAGTATCGGAAATGTAGGGGAACACCAGCTCGACATGACCGAGAAGAATGGCGACGACGTAGCTGATGATGAAGGTGGCTGGAAGCAGAATGAAAACTGCCATTGGAAGGTAGTGCAGCTCTGACCACGGCATGATTCGACCTTCCTGAACCCTTTAGGAGTTGTTTAAATGCTGGACGTTGATTGGAGTGATTGCACGTTTTACATAAGGAACAGGAGTCTAAAAAATGAATTTTGAAATGCCTCAAGAAAAGAAATAAAAGTGTCACGAGTTTTTGTTTACGCTTTTTTACGTGTTTGTAGCTGGAAGCGCCCTCTACCGGAATTGATATTCAGTCTTTGGTTTTTGGGTTGGGTTTTGCCAAAAAAGATAATGTTATTGATTCATTGACAGTTACAAATCTCAAGTGAGAGTGCTTATTTAATCAAAATTGGCGATCGAGGCGTTCCAAAGAAGAGACCCTCTCCTGCCACCGCCTTGTTGAGCTCCCGCTTTAGCGAGGCAAAAAAGTTGCCACTCTCACGCAGCTTGGCGCAAATGTCGGCAATTGCGCTCTGGTGGTGCTGCGCCTTCTTCAGGTCGTGCCCGTCGAAGGCCTCCACCAGCGCCCGGTAGTGCGCCACTGAGTCGCCGAAGCTGAATGTGGCGCAAATGGCCGTCCGACCGCCCAGCGCCCGCACCGTCAGCAGCGTCTCATCGAAGCCGGCGAAGAAGTTGATGCGATCGCCAAACTTGGTCTGAATGGAGGCAAAGCGAATGAGATTGCTGTCGGTGAACTTGAGGGCGCA